GTGTATGGCCAGCTTTACATAGTTAGTCATGTTGAAAAAAGACACAGAAAGTCCATCGAGTCCAACCTATAGAGATACAAAGAAGAAAAAAAAAAAAAAAAAAACCTGTTCAGCTATTTTGACACCCGGCAAAGTTAAAAAAAAATTTGTTCACCCCCAAAAGCTGTGTTTACTGCCTTAGGCTCCATCTAGGAAGGCTCGCCTTCTGCGGAAAAGGTTATTTTCATTACTCCAGGGCCTCAAACTCCAAGCCCGTAGCTACGTCTGGTTGAGAGTCTTGGAACTCCAAGCCCACAGACAAATATTTTGTATGAGGGTGCACCACTAAATTCCAAATTTGGGGAATGGCTGTTAGCCTTTGCGGACACTTGAACAGGCAGCATCTCAGATGCCTGTGTGTGAGAAGTGGCTTCCAATGGCTACAAGTCTGAGCTAGAGACCTTCTCTTACACAGTGACAAAGTGGTATTGAGGACCAGAACTTCCTTCCTACTCAAGGTAGTTTTAATCTTTCATTTCACGCAGGATATCATTCTCCTGTCCCTCTGTCCAGCTCTAGTTATAAAAAAAAAATATCCCTAATGCCTGGATGTAGTTTGGATTATGCTTTTTATCTCTCAGCCACCACTTCTTTCATAAAGACTGACTCACTTTCTCTTTCTAAATGGCTCCCGTAAATGTGAACTAGCTTCTTGTTCCACTATTTCTTGGTGGCTCAGGCACACCCTATCCAAGCAGGTCTTAAGGAAAAGTTGTCACCCTCTCCTGTTAGGGCACATTGTACTAGATCTGTGAGTAGACATGTGCGATTTGTTCCGAATCGACATTTTGGAAATTCAGATGTATGCGAATTACAGAAATAACAAATGCAAACGAATCCGAATTTCTGATTTGCAGAAATTTGTTAGCGGTAGTCCGGACGAAATTTTGTTGCAGCAAAAGTTTTTACAGTCTGCAGCAGATGGGGAAAAAAAAAGCGTGAGGGTTTCCCCCCCCCCCCCCCCCCAATCCGAGCACTGGCCCAGCAGGGCAGGAAAGGGGGGAGGCGATCAAGCGATGCCCCCTCTCCCTCCCTGCACCTTACCAGGCCACTGGGAGTGTGCCCCAATGCCGATGGGGACAAGGGCCTCTTCCCCAAAACTCTGACCCGGTGGTTAAGGGGGTCTGTGGGCAAGGGGGCTTATTTGCATCAGGTACCCCTTTAATTAAGGGGGCACCTAGATACTGCCCCCCCTTTGTGAATGAGTAAGAGTTACCCATTCACTAAAGAGTTAAATCAAAAAGTTATTAAAAAGTCCAGACTTGATAAAACCCTTTAATTGGAAAAAATGGCTCCATCGACGTAATCCAGCCTCAATCACGACGCACGACCCGCTGTAATAAAAAAAGCGCCACGCGACGACACTACGAACCCGACGAAAACTCGCCGCAAAATGATATTCCTGCTTGAAAGTAAACAGATGGGCAGAGTGAGATGTGACATCACGGCTCGCTCCGCCCATTTGACATTCTCAGCTGTCAAATACTACATAGCATTTGGGAACTCCCCCAATGCCATTCGGGTCTGTGAGCCAAGGTGTCAATGCTTTTCATATCACACCTCGGCTCAGGTATGTAATTTTGCGGCGAGTTTTCATCGGGTTTGGACAGTCATCGTGCGGCGTGATTGACGCTGGATTATCAATGGAGCCATTTTTTTTTTTTTAAAGTAATAGTCAAAAATTTACTTTTTTTTCAATTAAAAGGATTTTATCAAAAGTCTGGACTTTTTAATAACTATTTGATTTAACCCTTTAGTGAATGGGTAGGGGTACAAATACTCATTCACAAGGGGGGCAGCATCTGGGTACCCCCGATGCAAATAAGCCCCCTTGCCCACAGACCCTCACAACTACCGGGTCAGCATGGATTTCCCCAATATCCGCACCATTTAAAGACTCCGATTTTGTTAAGCCGCAAAGAAAAGAAACATATTAAAAAATGATAAAAAAATGAAACTTGTAGGCACAATACAAGTATTCTTATTAAAAAGGAGAACTATGAGGTGAGTGCTTTTCACTCACCTCATAGTTCTAGCCGACCTGTGACAATGAGACTGTCACAGGTCAGCTCAATAGATCGGGAGGGGAGCGAACACATACCGGGTTCGCTCACCTCTCCATCCTCACGGCTGTCTGCCGTGACAGGGGGAGGGGCTGGATTCCCCTCTCCGATCTGCCAGCGCTGACTGGCTG